TTGACAGAAGTGAGCTTAATTCTTGGGCTCAGGGCACAGTACAATCACTTGAATCAAGGAAGTAACATGTTTTATTGGAGGAATAGCTTGGACTTTACCTTGTAAACATACTTTATTCTTTGGGGTTTGGTTAAGTTTGTTGTTCTGATAGGTCAGGTTCAACACTCAAAGTCCACTTGGGAAGGGCCACATAGAGCTGGAGGCATCCTGGAGTGTTTGCGTTCAGCTCACTCATGTTATCCAGTATAAAGCACTCAGTCAGGTTTGGACTGAGGGTCTGCAGTTTCCATATAATAGGAAGGAAAAAAGGTGTGGGAGACAACAGAGATTTCAACAATAAAAACCAACCACCATGAATCAGTAACAATAAAGCTGGCTAACAGGTTATTTCTTAAGGGAATTTTACTTTTTAATCGCCTTATTTTCTACCTCTGTGGGGACATCTCAGACATCAAAGTTACTGTGTCTTCTAACCTCCCTCACTGTGCCTTTTTTCCAGATACTGGTTTCTATTAAGTTTTATGTTTTTACTCACATTATGGAGATGCAACTATACTATAGTGAAATGCTTCCATTCACATTTAGTAAAATGCATATACCAAATAACTAATGAGCCTATCAAGTTCTAGAACATTCCTAATGACTCGAGAATGGTGTTCTTCCTTCCATGCCTTTTCCATTGCTTGTTTTGATCCAGATCACCTGGGTTAGTGTAGTGGGTAGCCATTCCAGCTTTGATCTGGAAGTTCCAACCCCCATTGAGGCTTCGGTAACTGTCACGCCTACAAGGCGGGGCCAAGAGAGGACCTTGAAGACCTGAGATCCAGATGCGCCGGCTCTCTTGGTTCCTGGACCCTGGACGCTGGAGGTAGACCGAGCAGAGTTCTCCAGAGAACACTGCGCCACGCTTTACCCAGACTCTGTAAACTATCCATTCACTTGTAAGTTACCCCACAAAATAAACCTCCCTTTTAACTACGTGGAGTGGCCTTAATAATTTCACCAATAGGTTAGTTCTGCCAGATCTGGAACTTCAAACACATGAAAGTCCGCAGAACACCCCACAAAACAAATACCACCACTCACAAATGTAGTCAGCAAGAGTGTTGTTTATTCCAGCATGGAGGGGTCTGCCAGCCAGACAACAAAATGGCTGTGACCCCAAATGGAGCTCTCAGGCTCCTTTTGTAAGCAGCTAGGAGGGGGATGAGTTCATCCTGAACAAGATTGGCTGGGGCTCCTCTTCCTGCTTTAACAGGGTGCTGAAACTAAATTAAAACTCAGGCCTAGTGGAGACTGGGGCCTGGAGAAGCCTAGTCCTGGTGCTGCTGTGGCCCCTCAAAAGTATGCAATATACTGTTTTGTTGAGATGGGGTTTCACTGTGTTATATAGTCCTGGCTGTCCTGGATCTCACTCTGTAGACCAGTCTGGCCTTGAACTCACAGAGATCTCCTTGCCATTGCCTCCCAAGTGCTGGGATTTAAGGGCTGTGCCACCACTGCCTGGCACAATATACTATTTTTGACTGGGCTTCTTCACTCAGCATGACAGTTTTGTTAAAATTTACCCATGCTGTGGGGTGTATCATGATTCCTTTTTTTTTTTTTTTTTTTTTTGGTTTTTCGAGACAGGGTTTCTCTGTGTAGCTTTGCACCTTTCCTGGAACTCGCTTTGGAGACCAGGCTGGCCTCGAACTCACAGAGATCCGCCTGGCTCTGCCTCCCGAGTGCTGGGATTAAAGGCGTGTGCCACCACCGCCCGGCTTTTTTTTTTTTTTTTTTTTTTTAACTGGAGAGTAGGAACATGTTCTTTCCTGACCTCACTGCCCTGGTTGTAGGGCAACTGACTTGTTTCAATTTTGAAATCAAACAAGATACTTGTCCCAATTCTGGCACAACTCTGTCTAAATAAAACTTGACTCTGTTACCTTTGAAATTCTGCTTTTATTTAGGTCTTTCAAGGGGGTGCCTCCATCACCTCAAGATAAATCATAGTACAAAACGTGCAACCAAGAAGTGTGAGATGGATAAAAGTGGTACCCAGTAGAAGATGGGCAGGTCTATTTAGCCATCATTCAAAGCAATAAAGGCTACATTCAGCAAGTAGTACCTTGGCCAGGTTTAGCATCCAACCTTGAAAGTGTTGGCAGAGTTGCCCATGGTCAATATCAGGCAGCACATTGAACTCAAGGTATTATAAGGGTATCAATAACTTAATGAGCAGCAACAAAGCAGTAGACATTTTGCTGATTGTTTGATTTAATCCTTATATTTGATGTAGGTAATATATAAATATATATATATATATATATATATATTTATATATATACTCTCAACTTCAGAGTACAGCCTAGGGAGGCATAGGATGTTATGCACCTAAAGAATTATGCAGCTGGTCATGGTGGCACACACCTTTAGTCCCAACTCTTGGGAAACAGAGGCAGGTGGAATTCTCTGAGATTAAGGCCAGCCTGATCTACACACCTCATTTCAGGTCAGCCGGAGCTACACAGGAAGACAAAAAAAAAAAAGTATGTAATTCATACAAAGTCAGTATTCTAAGGAGTGTACGCAAAGCAAAACAATAAGAACATGAAGCAGAGCAGGTGTGGAGTTAAAGTCCAGTGGCACTGTACAGCTAAGTATTAACAGTGTTTCTACTTTCTCTTTCCACTGGTATTTTACAAAACCTTCCTAATCCCTGAATCCTCTCTGTCTGTGCTTACTGACTCAGAAAGAGTGTGATGTGTGGCACATACTTCTCTGAGACCTCACAGACCAGTTCCACAATTGTGGTTTTACAAGTTGAGTAATTTAACACTGCCCTTGATAACAAGCTTATTTAGATATTTTGCCTATATGATTACCGACAGCTTCAGCCAAAATCCATGTAAAATCAGAAGGATTTCAGGAGGCAAGGGACTGGTTTAAAATTGTATTCGGAGCACCAATAAAAACAGTCATCTTCCTGAATGTTGTTGCCATTTTTCTTTCCTACCCAAAAGACCCTTCTGTGTCCTCCTCCTGTACTGCTCCTGGTTGTAACTTTATTGATTTGTTTAAAGGGAAAGATGTAGCAGTGTTGTATAACAGTTTCCTCTGTGATTAAAACATTCTATCCTGCAGGAAGCTCCTCAAGCAGGAAGATAAACAAGTCAAAGTAACTTCAGGAAGTCCCTGAAACTGACCAGACTCATTAGACCCCCCTCCCTGCCAGAGTGAGCAACAAAAGCTCCAAGTCCCCCTAAGATGCTGCAGGGTCAAGCTTCAAAGAAGACTCCTAGATCAGACCAGGTTCCTGGAAGAAGTAGAAACCAGACAAGCTGCCTGGAAGAAGTTTAGACCAACTGAGGCACTGGGAAAGGACATTTTCCAATCTGTCGAGCTGCCTCCAAGCTGTGCAGTAGGCTCCAGGTTCCCAGCTTTTGCGAGCTGTCACCCATGATGGGGTGGGCTTGGTGATGCAGGTGATCTTTTAGTCATTTCTGCTTCTGTAAGTAACCCCTCCCCCATATTGCTGAATAACCCAAATAAAACTTACTAGTTCATCAAGTTGAACTTTGGTGCTATCTATACTTTGGTCTGTCATAGGTTCTATCTGGAGTGAGAAGATAAGTGTGTTTTATCTTCCCAGGGAAAGTTTTGTCACACAACAAGCAGAACGTGTCCCTTTACCTGGCAAGAATACCCTGCATTTAATTGGGAAAGAAGCTGGATGAGTTATACTTGAGGTTTTAAATGGTACCCAGTGTTAGGAAGAACACTGTGGTCTTTTATATGAGTTTATAAGATTGCCACCAAGGGCTATAGATAGGGTAGCTCGACAGCAGGAATTTACTTACCATGGTTCTAGAGACCAGAATTCAAGATCAAAGTATTTCCAGGGCCAGCTTCTGAGGCTGATGCTGCCTTCTTGCTGGGTCAGCCCATGGCCTTTCTTCTGGGCCCTCATCCTGTCGTAGTCTCCAGTATGACTATGGAGACTATGACCACTTGACCTTAGGTCCACTCACATAGCCTCATTTTAATTTAATTATATCCGACACAATCCCTCCTAGACATGAGGGCCATATTCTGAGGAATTGGGGCATACAGTTATAACTTGGCACATAACACAGCTATTAATGGAAGTAAGAGGATATTTAGGAAATGTCATGAGTGCAGTTGTGTCTTACACAAGAAGGAGGCTGTTGGTTGTTGAATCGGGTCAGTCTTCAGTCACCCTCCAGATCTAGGCGCATGTATGCACCGTGATGGTTCTAGGGACAGTGAAGGGGAGAACTCCCTGCAGAGACTTAAATCTCTGTGGAAGGCAGAATTTCAAAAGCAAGAGGGTCCAGTTTTATGTGCACAAAGTTGTGCAAGGATTGGAGGGGTTATCTTAACTCCAAAATCAAAGCAATCCACGTGTTTGGTAGCAGGGCAGTGGCAGAAGATAAGGCAAACAAATGTGTCTAATAGATTCCCTGCTCTGCCATTAAAAATAGGACTGAACTGTGTAAAGTAATTTGTGAATTGAACTTTCCTATAAGGAAAGATGGAAGCGGCGTGTATTCGGAGAGAAAGGCATCAAGGGAGGAAATGACATGCTGAAGACAGTCCCTGCCGACCAGCAGTTGAAAAGTTAAAATGCTCTTCTAGGTGTAGTCTTGCATTCCTGCAATCCCAGCTTTTGGGAGGCCAAAATAGGAAGACTACCAAATTTAAGGCTGGATTGATTTTGAGTTACAAGTCCATCACAAAGTCCACACACACACACACACACACACACACACACACACACACACACACACACACAAATAATAATAATAATAATTAAGGTTTTAATGTCTTTAACTTAACTAAGAAATCTTTTTTTTTTTAAAGCTACAAAAAAAAAAAAAAAAAAGGAATCTTGCTTCGGCCCAGCTTGGCGAAGGACGCCGAGGTTAAACAGCACTCTAGACACCCAGTTTCAGTTGTCAGGGAAGCAGCTCTCTTTATTCGTCCCAACATGGGCTTATACACCCCTCCAACAGCAGGGGTGAAGGAATGGTTACTCTGTATCCGGAGGCAAGCCGGATACTGTTTTCCAAACAGGAAAAACCACAGGGGAACTGATCCCCAGCACCCTCCGGAACCGAACTGCACATTTTTCACACAAACAACTGGGACAGGACAAAAAAAGGGCATTTAAAATTAAGGCAGCAAACTTACTACTGCCGACAGAATCTGCTAACGGTTAATTACAGGAAATGTGAGGTGGGCTTTTTTTAGTTTGGGGAGAAGGAAGAAAGTATCTGTATACTTTACAAAATATGTCAAAAATAGTATGAGAACAGTAAGTTTGAACTTTAGCTTACCCCACTTGTTGGTAGAAAAAAAAACATGTTATAAAAAGAAGTTGCTATGTTTTGGTCATTTTATAAAGCACTGTAGTGTTCAAATTGTGTGTGGGGGGGGGTGCGGGGGGACGATCAAAATTGAATTGGTCTAACACAGGAACCAGAGACGTGGATCAGAGATGGAGCACTTCCCTAGCATGAACAAGGCCCAGGATTTGATCCCCAGCATCGCAAAATCAAGAGCTAGAAAAATTGGTTCAACTTCGGCCAGGCATGGTAGCATAAGCCTTTAATACCCCAATTCTGGAGGCAGAGGCAGGTGGATCTCTGCATTCTAGGCCAAGCTGGTTACACAGCAAGTTTTAGAGTCAAGCTAACCAAGAGAAACCACAGCATCGGGCCTGTAAAAAACAGGAAGGTAAAGGACTCAGGAGCCATCACCAGAGCAGATTCACGGGCCGTGTTGTTGGAATATCCGCAAATCACATTTTTTTTTAAATTGTAATCAGCATCTCAGGTCTGCTCCAATGCCAATGATAAAGTTGTCAGCCTTCCCAGCCTGTGTGTGTTTTGATATAATAAAGTCACACGCAGAAACCCACAGAAAGTTCTCACTCTATGGAGAAGCCTGCTACTGCTAGCGCACTACAGTGACAAAACAAAAACAAACAACAACAAACGTTCGGGACAGCTACGCTCTGTTGCCCCAGGCCTCCATCCGCCACCCTCTTCCAGCTGTCTGGTAAGACGGCCCCGCCCCTAACGTAGGAGCAGCTGATTGGAGAATGCGGAGAGGGGCACGCGGCTTAGCCAATCCGGAGAGCACAACTTGCCCTACTCCGCCCCCGACCTTCGAGCCATGCTGCCGGCGACCGGCTCCGGCGTCGGCGCCTTTGCTGCTGAGCCGGACGCCGACACCTAGAGCATGTCCTCTCCCGGGGATCCGCATCCCGCGGCTGGGGAGCAGCCGGGAGCTGGGCTGCACTGGCGGGCGGCGGGCGGCGCGCTGCTGCTTTGCGGGCTGGCGGTCCTGCTGGGCTGGGTCTGGCTGCGGTGGCAGCGCGCCTGCGGCATCCCTCCGGGGCCCGCACCCCGGCCGCTCGTGGGTAACGTGGGACACTTGCTGGTGCCGCGCTTCCTGCGGCGGCAGTTCTGGCTGGGCCCGGGCGGCCAGACAGACACCGTGGCCTTCCACTTGCGCCTGGCCAAGCTGGCCAGTGTCTACGGCAACGTCTTCAGTTTATTCATCGGCCACAGTCTGTTGGTGGTCCTCAGCGACTTCCGCAGCGTGCGCGAGGCGCTGGTGCAGCAGGCTGAAGTGTTCAGTGACCGCCCGCGGTTGCCACTCATCTCCATCATGACCAAGGAGAAGGGTGAGCACACCGCGGGCTCCCGACCAGGGATGGCTGGGGCGGGCAGGTGGCCACCTGCGTCCTGCACTGCGCCGCGTGTGTGCGCCTGTGTGTGTGTGTGTGTGTGTGTGTGTGTGTGTGTGTGCGTGTGCGCACGCGCGCGCGTGGTTTCTAGTGCAAGATCAAAGTGGGAGACCCATGGGAAAGTTAGGAGTCGGGGTGAGGGAGGGGATACCAAAGTGTGAAATCAGGGGCCACCCTCCCGGGAGCCTTCCTCTCTCTGTCCTCCACGAGACCACCTCATTCATAGATAGGTCTGTGACTCCAACATTTCTAAACTTTGGCCCTGTTAGAAAAAGAAAAAGAAAATTCTTTTCACCCAGTGAAGGGACTCTAGCCAACCCGAACATGGCAAATATGGCTCCTAGAAGCCTAGCCTAGAAGCTAAAGTTAGCCTAATGACATTCCCTGATTTGGCCACTTCCTCCTCCAGAGGCTGACTACCAAAGTCCAGATATCAAAGTACTGAAGTTCAGCAATCAAAAGCCACCTTGATTAATATGCCCAGAATTAACCAACTCATTCTTTTTTTTTTTTTTTTTTTGTTTTTTGTTTTCCGAGACAGGGTTTCTCTGTGTAGCTTTGCGCCTTTCCTGGAACTCACTTGGTAGTCCAGGCTGGCCTCGAACTCACAGAGATCTGCCTGGCTCTGCCTTCCGAGTGCTGGGATTAAAGGCGTGCGCCACCACGGCCCGGCAACCAACTCATTCTTAACACCAGGTTTCCCCCTTTATCTTTATAAACTGCCATTTGCCTGTGGGTCACATCTGCCTCTTCTCTATCCAGAGACAGTCCTTTGTCATCGCTCCCCCACAAATATCCCGTCCCCTTCTCCCTTGTCCTCTGTCTCCGTCTTAGTCTTTTTTCCCTGCCCTCTGTCCCTCTGGGGCAAATCAATCTCCTTTGTTCTGAGGACTTGGTCTTGGGGTGTCTTGAACGGACTTCGAGACCCCTCCACCCCCGTGACTTTCCGTTGCAAAAGTATAAGAAGATATTTTTCCTTAAGAAAGTCCAGAAGCCAAGCTAGGGCCTGTTGAACTGGATGTGTTGGTTCATAGCCTCTCTAAATATTTTCACAGAGAACATGGCTGCTGTCTGCCCATGTCTTAAGAACTTGCCTGAGATGAAAAGAATATTGGGCGAGGGGCAGGGAGTATGTCAAGATAGCCTATTTACTGTGCTCCGTGGTTTCTACTCTGTTCCCATGCTCCTTGTGTGTCTCCCTCTGCAGACACTGAGGTGTTGTTCTCCACTCTTCAGCCAGCTGCCAGTCCTCTATTCTGTCTTGAGACACTGAAGTACAAGACTGGAGCCGTCACTTCATTCGTTGTGGATGGCGTGTACACTTCCATGCAGGAGGGTGGCCCATGAGTTCACACTTTGACATCCCCTCCCTCACCCCAATTCCTCACTTTCCTGTGGAAACTCCCCTGCAGGGCCTCAGAAAGGCTCTGGAGTTGGAGGCACCTGTAATCCAAGGAGGCAGAATTTGAATGCTATATGAAGTGCGGTTAGTTCTTGCTCCTAAGACCGCTCCTGCCTCTGCAGGAGATAGAAAATGAATGCTCTGGGTTACACTGCGTCTTGTTGGCCTCTTGGCTAGAGATGGGATAAAGACAGAGGACATATGACAGCCGCTGTGCGATGCTTCTAGAGTAAGACAGGAGTCTTCAGAAGTTTACTCTGGATGAAATGTAGACCAAGAACACCCAACTAATCTGGCTTCTAGTGAAGGAAGATAAGGAAAGTATGTTAACTTGAACCTCCAATCCCTACACCCCTCATCCAGTTTAAGTGGCAGCTCCTTGACTTCATAGCCATGGGCCACAGTGAACAGAACTAGTTTCTGAATTGTGTTCCAGATGCTGAGACAGGAGAATCGCTTTGGCTTTCTGGCTACTGTAGTTGAAACTTTCTTTGAACTGCCAGTTCTCAAATGACATGGAGACTTCTTATTAGTTACGAAAGGTTGGTTTTAGCTTAGCCTTGTTCCCAACTAGCTCTTACAACTTAAATTAACCCTTTTATATTAATCTATGTTCTGCTACATGGCTCGTAACCTCTCCTCCATACTGTACATCCAACTCCTCTGCTTCTCTCTGGCAATTTCCCTGCGCCTTAGATTCCTCCCAGAGTTCCTGTGTCTCTCCAGAAGTCCCACCTATTGTCTTTGGCCTAGCTATTGGCCATTCAGCTCTTTATTAAACCAATCAAAAGGTGCATTTCACACAGTGTGTTCAAATATCCTGCAACAGGCTACCAGCTTAGTGATAAGTTCCAGATGTAATAAGAGATAGTCAATGGACTAAGGCAGAAAGTAACAGAACAGGACACCGAGGCCGTCCTCCGGCCTCCTCATGCACCTGCCCACACGTTACCGCCCCCCACATCTGTACAGAAAAAAAAAACACTTGTATTTATACCTCATGTATAGGAATTGTCGGTAAATTATAGAGAATTAAACATGAAGACAATCAAAATCTAGGCGCTGGAGAAATGGCTCAGTGATTAAGAGTGCTTGCTATTCTTCCAGAGGGCCTGGTTCAGTTCCCAGCACCCATGGCAGCTCATAGCCATCTGTAGCTTTTAACACCCTCTTCTGGTCTGGGTAGACACCCAGCACACACATGGTGCACAAACATACATTCAGGCAAAGCATACATAAACATAAAATAAAAATAAATCTTTAAAACACAGACATCTGTTGCTAAACAGACACAGTGACACACACCTATAGTCTTGAAGTTGGGAGGCTGAGGCAGGAGGATTGTAACAACTTCAAGGCTGTAGTGTAGACTTCAAAGTGACACCCTATCTTTAAAAAAGAAATGTATACATGTGGACTGGACAGATGGCTCAGTGGTTAGGAGCCCATAATACTCTTTCAAAGAACCTGAGTTCAGATCTAGCACCCATGTCAGGAAGTTCACAACCACCTATGACTTCAGCTGCCCGGAATCCATGTGCCCTCTCTGGCTTCCACAGTTATCTGCGCACGCACACACACACACACACACACACACACACACACACAACTGTAGATAGATAGAAATTTTAAAAAATCTACACATGAGGGGCTGGAGTGATGGCTCAGCAGTTAAGAGCACTGGCTGCTCCTCCAGAGGTCCCGTGTTCAATTCTCAGCAACCACATGGTGGCTTACACAACCATCTGCAATGAGATCTGGTGCCCTCTTCTGGCCTGCAGGGATACATGGGGGAAGAACACTGTATACATAATAAATAAACTTTAAAAAAAAGTCTACACATGATGTCTTTAAATTTAAAACTTATGCTTATCAAAAACATCAGATGATGAAAGGGGTTAGCTATGTATTTAAAATATATAGGAGGAAAATATCCACACAGGTGTGAATTGTGAAATAAGAAACTCATCAGTGACCCACACTGATAATCACAGAAATGTGAATAAAAATCACATGAAGTACATTTCAGCCCTCTAGTGGCAAAAATAAAAAAATTACAAGTATCCAGTGATGGCCGCTACTTGAAACCAATGATATTCATATACCTGTGAATGTACTTTTGTTCCGCTCTTAATCTACCGAACAGTAACTTGACAGTGTCTATTCATGTGCAGATATCCATATTTTATGCCTCATCAATTTGCCCTTAGAGATGTCTGTAAAATTTGGAGGTTGTCCCAATTCAGGCATGCATTTGTCTACATAGATGTTTATGTTGAGATGCTTCTCTTTTCCCATTGCTGGGAATTGAACCCAGGGCTTTGTGCATGGCAGTTGTGCATTGTACTACTGAGCTGAACCGCCACTCTTGAAAGACACTTTGTAGAGGTACTTAAAATGTAAAAGAACTCAACAACTAACCGGGTCAGCATTTCATTTGCACTTGGATCCTGCACACCACGTGCTAAGGATTCAGAACATGGTGTTGGTGGTTTGAATGTGGACTGCCCCCCCCTCCCCCTGCACAGGCACATGTCAGCAACACACACTTGTTCAGGACTTCACCCGCTCCCCACAGGAAGGAGAATTGGCTGAGATGATAAAGGACATTATGGAAACTAGAGGATGAAGTGGGTACCCGGAAGTTAAGAAACATTTGATAATAGTTGGTCCATCTAGGAACAGGTCTGTTGGGTTCATAATAGTAGGTACCATGTTAGTACATGTTAGGATCAAATAGGATACAGCTCTTTTTCTTTCTTTCTTTTTTCTTCTTCTTTTTTTTTTTTTTTTGAGACAGGGTTTCTCTGTGTAACAGTTCTGGCTGTCCTGGAACTCGCTTTGTAGACCAGGCTGCCCTCGAACTCACCGAGATCCACCTGCCTCTGCCTCCCAAGTGCTGGGATTAAAGGTGTGTGCCACCACTGTCTGGCAGGATGCAGCTCTTGATGAGTTCAGGTGCTTCCGGTTTTTTGTGGTTTTTTTTTTTTTTTTTTTTTTTTTTTTTTTTTTTTTTTTTTTTGCCATCAGGCTACATTTTGATTATTTAACATTTACTAGATCCCGATTTTCCACGCCCATGTTTCAGTCCCAGGTGGGGTGTTCATTTCTTCAGCTACCACTTTAGCAGGCATCTGCTGTGTGCTCAGCACTGTGCAGAGGCTGGAGTTTGCATGGAGAGCAGAAGTGTGCTTTCTGCTTTTGAGTCAGGCTGGTATTGTAGTTATACTTCTGTTCAGTGTTTAGAATATGGCATTTTGAGTATGAGTTGTGGAATATTACTTTAACTAGGCAAAGCCGTATTCCATTTGTTTATGCTGCGTTTGTTCAACAATGTAAAGATGTGTTGCTTTGCCTGCCTAAGGCACCTGATTGGTCTAACAAAAAGCTGAACAGCTGGTAGCTAGGCAGTGGAGGGATAGGCAGGGCTGTCAGGCAGAGAGAGAGAGAGAGAGAACAAGGGAGAAAGAGAGGGAGACGCCTGGGGCCAGCCAGCGAGGCAGCCGCCAGCCGTCCAAACACGGAGTAGGACACACAGAATGAAAGAAAGGTAAAAAAGGCCCGCAGCAAAACGGAGGTGAAGAGAAACAGGTTAAGATAAGTTGAAAGAGCTAGTGAGACAAGCATAAGACGAGGCTGAGCATTTATAATTAGTAAGAAGTCTCCGTGTCACGATTTGGCAGCTGGTTGGCGGCACAAAAGAAAGCCTGCTACAACATGGGGGCTTTTTGTTGGAAAGGTTTTCTAAGCTGAATCTGCTGTTGTGGCACATAAAGATACTTAAGTGCACAATAATTTTAGGCATCAAAACTCGTTGCTTTTCATTTTACCAGAAGTTACAATAAATAATAACTTTGTAGCAAGTGATCCTAATTTAGACTCAGCATTTATTGGAAACACATGTCTTTATAATGACACTTCACCGGTTGTCTTTATCTGCATAGGAACTTTGGCCTGGAGACTTAAAAATATAGACTATACCTCACAGTCAGTCCAGTTTGCTGTTCCCAGGCCTTGATCTCCCCTTCCTCTCTGTCGTTACAGGAATTGTGTTTGCACACTATGGTCCAGTCTGGAAACAGCAGAGGAAATTCTCCCATTCGACCCTTCGTCATTTTGGTTTGGGAAAGCTTAGCCTGGAGCCCAAGATTATTGAGGAGTTCCAGTACGTAAAAGAAGAAATGGAAAAACACGGAGACGCCCCCTTCAATCCCTTCCCGGTCATCAGCAATGCCGTCTCTAACATCATCTGTTCCCTGTGCTTCGGCCAACGCTTCGATTACACAAACAAGGAGTTCAAGAAGGTGCTGGATTTCATGTCCCGAGGCTTAGAAATCTGCTTGCACAGCCAGCTCTTCCTGATCAACATATGCCCCTGGTTTTACTACCTCCCCTTTGGACCATGTAAGGAACTAAGGCAGATTGAGAGGGACATAACCTGCTTCCTGAAAAACATCATCAAAGCGCATCAGGAGTCCCTGGATGCCGGCAACCCTCAGGACTTCATCGACATGTACCTGCTGCACGTGGAGGAGGAGAGGAGGAACGGCAGCAGCACCAGCTTCGATGAGGACTACCTCTTCTACATCATCGGGGACCTCTTCATTGCCGGCACCGACACCACGACCAACTCTTTGCTCTGGTGCCTGCTGTATATGGCACTGAACCCTGACGTGCAGGGTAATTGGGAGATTTGTCCTTCCCTCAGGGTCAAGGCAGGGTATTTCTTTAAACCAGGTAGCAACCTCTGTGATCTGCTAACGCACTATCAGTGGATATGATTTGAAGGTGTCCCCCAAAGGTTCATGTGCTAGAAGTTTGGTCCTCAATGCTGTCATATTGAGGAGGTAGAACCTTGAGATACCTAGAGCAAGGTAGTTAGTCACAGGAGCTTGAGAGAGCTTAATCTGGAGACAAGATTTTTGAGGAGTTCAAGTATATGAAGGAAGAACTAGAAAAGCATGGCTGAATCCCTTTCCCATGACATCTCTGACCTCCAATAGGATACTGTCATTCTTACTGGCCCTAGTTAGTTCCCATGAGATGGGTTATTGCAAAAGGAGCAGCCTTGGCCCCTGAGTCCCCCTGAATTCCTGTTTGCCCTGTGACCTCTCCCTCTCACATGCCCTCGCTGTACTATCTGCCATGCTTTGATGTAACTGAATAGAGGCTGCTGTTCTTGGACTTGGGTCTTCCAAAACTGGGGGCTAAGTGTTTCTTTATAAATCAGCACCCAGCTTCAAGTTTTCTGTAAAGAGACTAAAAACAGACAAAGACACCATGGAAAGTTTCACATTTATAAAGCACCAAGGGACAGAGTTGTGAACTTTTTCAAGGGTCCATTTTGGGTTTTTTTCTTACCATAGTCGTTGTTGTGGCTACCTATTTTAACTAGCTTTTACTAAGCAACAGATTATCCCCAAACTTAGTTGCTTAAAACAGTAGCTTTATTATTACATAAAGTTTTTAAGTATCAGAGCTCCAGGTCGATGAGGAGCACACGTATATAGCCAGCTTTTCAATGCTGGAACAGAGTGATTGATTGCTAATCAGCTGACAAGAGAGAAGTGTTTTGGAGAGTGGTTTCTGAGGATTCGGTCTGTGGCCTGTGTCCATGGGGCCTGTGGTAAGGCAGTGCATTGTGGAGGGGGGTTTCCTCTGGGCAGATGTAGAAGACAAGGAAGGAAGTTCTAGGGTTGCATCATTCTCTTCAAGGGCACCCCTCACCCCCCTACCCCCCACCGCCACCCCGGCCTAAATCCTCCCACAAGGCCTCCCTCTTAATGACACCACTGTGGGAACAGACCTGCAACCCCAGGCTTTGGGGGGATGTCCTCCACTACAGCAACCCCAAAGGTGGGGTTCGTGGGGTATTTTAGACTGTCACATGATACTACAGCTTAGAGAGTCACATGAGAGTGTAATGCTGGGTGCCCTGAGTCCAGCATGCTGTTTCTTTGGCCCGATCTGTTCTTGCAGCGCCCCACCCCCAATGGCTTCCTGTCTCTACCAGTCCTGAATGAGGCCACCATGGGCCACTGCTCCCTTGCTGGGTAAAGTTTGCAGAACAATGCTGACTCAACTCTCCCAGGCTCATCTGCGCTTCATTCTTTCCTTTTTGCATAGAAAAGGTTCATGAAGAAATTGAGAGGGTCATTGGTTGTGACCGAGTTCCTTCCCTCACGGACAAGGCCCAGATGCCGTACACAGAAGCCACCATCATGGAGGTGCAGAGGCTTTCCATGGCGGTGCCACTGGCCATCCCTCATATGACTTCAGAGAAAACAGGCAAGTCGGGAGCCTGGCATCTCCGTGTGCCCCCGAGGGCATGCGTAGTGTGGGAAGGGGTGTGGCCACAGCAGAACTAGCTCTGTGTCCCAGCCAGCTCTGTGTCCCAGGTGGAAGGGTCCAGGATTGTTATCTTTGGTACTGGCACCGCAGTCATTCCCAGGAGTCCTCTGGCCTCCGGTGTGTGCACACTTACACTAGCAAAACATGATGTTAACCCCCAAGTCAGCTATTTGGGCAGAAGCCATTCTGGAGTTGATAGTGGCCCCTCTAGTCTTCCCCAAATTAACCCACTTTGGTTTTTAAAATTCTGCAACCAAAGTGTAATTTAAAAATTGGAACGTTCCAGCCTGATTCGAGGGTAGCCAACTTTAACCTATCACATGGCAGAGTCCAGCATGTCTTTAACCCTCCGTTTATAATGAAGGGTGCCACACACCTGTAATCCCAGGGAGGCTGAAGCAGGAGAATTGTGACTTCAGGGTCAGCTGTTTCCAGGAGACAGAGAGAGGTTGATGGGGAGGGCAAAGTTTAAGGCTTCTAGAGTCAGCCCAGAATGCAGGTTCGACCCACTGTGAAGTGCCCGGCACCTGTAGGGTGTTAGCCTGCAGCTGGTAACAGTGGGAGTTGAGTTCCCTGCAGATCGTTTTCCTTAGCGTGCTCTCCCCATCATATTGTGTGGACAGAAAAGCCTGTAAACTGTTCCATTCTGTGCTGGCAGTTTTATGTCAACTTGACACAAGCTAAAGTCATCTGAGAGGAGGGAACCTCAACTGAGAAAATGCCTCCATAAGATCGGGCTGTAGGCAAGCCTGTAGGGCAGTGGTTCTCACCCTTCCTAGTGCTTTGATCCTTTATTACAGTTCCTCATGTTGTAGTGACCTCAGCCATGAAACTATTTTAATTGCTGCGCCATAACTAATTTTGCTACTGTTATGAATCATAATGTAAATGTCTGATATTTCTGATGGGCTTAGGCAAACCCCGTGAAAGGGTGTTTGACACCCAAAGGGGTCTTGACCCGCAGGTTGAGAACTGCTGTTGTAGGGCATTTTCTTAATTAGTGATTGATGGGGGAAGGCCCAGTCTATTTTGGGCGGTGAGCAAGCCATGTGAAGCAAGCCAGTAAGCAGCACCCCTCCATGGCCTCTGCATCAGCTCCTGCCTCCAGGATCCTGCCCTGTTTGAGTTCCTGTCCTGACTTCCTTCAATGACGAACAGTGATATGGAAGTGTGAGACAAATGAACCCTTTTCCTCCCCAAGTTGGCTTTGGCCATGCTACTTCATTACAATAATAGTAACCCTAAATAAGACACACTCTGTATAAATTTTAAGAGCATATAAATCTTGGAGAAAGCTTCCCTGTGTTCTACTTCTGTTTCAGTGTTTTCTTGATGGTCAGTTTTTGTGGCCTGACTTGGCTCACAGAGCCTGATCTGATTCAACACTAGCCCTGCCCCTCCTATCTCAGGCTGGGTCTGGGCTAGAGCAGGGAGAAAGTGCTGGTTGATAAGATCTTCCCCTTCCCCTCAGGAACCTCAGAATGTGGTCTCGGCCAGTGACAGAGTTAAGTGGGTGAATCACTTTGCTCCTGAAACAGTGATGTTGGAAGGAAGCTAATAGTGAAAGCAAGTGTGGCACTGACTTCCTGTTTGTTGTCTGCAGTCCTCCAAGGCTACACTATTCCCAAAGGCACGGTGGTCATCCCCAACTTGTGGTCACTACACAGAGACCCAGCCGTTTGGGAGAAACCAGATGACTTCTGTCCTGATCGATTTCTGGATGACCAGGGACAACTTTTGAAAAGAGAAACTTTTATTCCTTTTGGGATAGGTCAGTGAAACCTTGGTTTTTAACTTCATTGGTGTGTGTGTGTGTGTGTGTGTGTGTGTGTGTGTGTGTACACGTGCATGTTTGAGGTGTGAATATGTAAGTATAGGTGTCTCCATCAGAAGACAGCTTTGCAGGAGTCGGTTCTGGTCTGAGTTGCTTTGCTGGCTCAGCTTTTTTTTCTTCTTCGGAAAATAAACATAAAGTAGCACTGTGGACAGAGGTGACTCATAGTGGCGTGCACTGTGTGCCTTGCATGTTTGAGCCCTCCGTTCCATCCCCAAGAGAGACAGAAGAAAGGAGGAGCCAGTTGGGCTTAATCTTTACGACTGGAAATCTCCCTTCCTCTTTGGGGCCTGAGAAGCAGGGGAGATTAAGGAACTATTGGAGTTGAGCACAACTTTTTAAAATTACATTTTATTTAGTGTGTGTCTGTGGCGGGGAGCGAGACAGATGCCCCTGCACACACCAGAGGACAACTTGAAACACTTAACTGTCTCCTTCCACGTGGGTCCCAGGCATTGAACTCTGGGTGTCATGGCTCCATGTCAGCAACTGCCTCTACCATGTCACAGGCAGAGAACAAACAGGTCCTGGTCTGCTAGGCTGGTGGGTGAGGGCTTCTCTACCCTCAGTCTCTCTTTAGGCTCCTAGATTGAGGCACACAAAGCCCTTTCTGTGGAAATGGAAGGTTCCAGAAACTTTCAGCTGACTCTTCCCCTTAGTCCTCCAGGTGACGGGGAAGGCAAGGGGCAAGGTGGCTGTGGCTTGGGCTCTTGCACAGTGGTGAACTGGTTGTGCGGACAGATAAACCGGAGGAGGCTGTGGTTTTTGTGGCGGTTTTACTCTGGAACCCTCCTCCCCAGACTCAAGTGAGACACTTGCTACAAAGGGACAGGGCTGCGTTGTAATTCTCCCTCTTCTCACTCAGGAAAGCGGGTGTGTATGGGAGAGCAGCTGGCGAAGATGGAATTGTTCCTGATGTTTGTGAGCCTGATGCAGACTTTCACCTTTGCCTTACCCGAGGGTTCTGAGAAGCCCATCATGACTGGGAGATTTGGTCTAACCTTAGCCCCACATCCATTTAACGTCACCGTCTCAAAGAGATGAAGATGTCCCCGAGAGGAGAGGAGTGACCGCAGGCAAGCATGTGTCCTAGACACTCTCCATGCTGTCGAGCACGGGCCCAGCAACCCAGCGCAGCCAAGAGAGGCTCCAGACGAGAGACTGGAGGGAAAGGATCCCACTCCATGGACGCCTCCTGCCCGCTGGGAAGCATGGATGCGGGATTGAGTTGTGTGGATTCCACCGGGAGCAGACCGCATCTCTCAGCCTCCATCATCCCGTGGTAAAATGAGGGTAGTGAAATTTCTCATGGCCTCTCTGCTGTTAGCGAATGTTGGGCAATTCAGTAGTAGATATCCGCCTTCAGACCTTTCAGGGCCCCTGAGAGCATGGAAGTGCGTTCAGCACGGACCCTTGGTCGGAAAGGGATGCAGGTCCAGGTTATATTGAGGAAGACATTTTTTCTCGTTAATTTTTTTTTTTAAGCATAGGTTCTATATCAGTTTCTTTGAGCTTGTCTTATGAGTATCTTTTGTGTTTAGGACTGGGTTCTCAACTTTCTATAAAGCTAGAGTGAAATTTCCCCTTGCCCCGGACACTGAGGAAAAAGAAAAGCATTCTCTTGAGGTCATTGTCTACCTGTGTGGCTACTGTCTGTAACCACGTGAGAAGTGGGTCTGGTGCCCAGCCCAGGTCCGTCCGCTCTGCTCGGCTGTGTGCAGAAGTCAGCTCTGCCTTGACTTGGGCCCCAGATGCTGGGCTGGGCAACTTAATAATGGAATTATGGAACTGGTCAATCATTCAAATGATTTTGAACTTCCTCTCCTGTGTGTCACCAGCCATAGTGTGACTGACTTGAACAGTCTCCAAGACAAAGAGCCATTTCTTGATAAGTGGGCCTCTAGTGGCCTTTCCAGGGGCCGCATGGAAATGTGGGAAAGGATTTATCATAATGGTGGATTACTGTGGGCCTTCTGCTGCTGGGATCCTTGACAGTCAAGTGTCAGCTTAGTGTGCCCAAGTCTGGCCCTTCCCTTGGTTCTCCCACAGTACTGTGGAAGGAACCATGGTTATACTGAGCCTTTCTTCGGGAGGCACTGTACAGGTGTTTTATTGTGTGTGTATGCAACCCTCACACTGAGGGAGCTTTGCAATGCTAAGGCCCATAATTAAAAGATACCATCACTGGGTCTCTAAGATGCTTGGCCTTGTGACTGGAAAGCGCTTTCTGAGCCCCTTCTCAGTGTTGACCCCACATGGTCCTGAAGCTGTGTCCTCCGTTACCTGTGTCCCTCTCTATCCCAGTGGACCCTTTGGGGCCTGGCTCCATACTGCTGCCTCCTCCTCACTATGCCTTATTCTTAGTAGGTGCCCAGGCAACTTGGGAGTGAGTTAGGGAAGGTGCCTAAGAGGAAAGTCCGTCTATGTGTTTATTGCTGTCACTTTAGGATAATTTTAAAACACAGTATAATTTGCCCTACCTGTTTAAGCCAGTGTTTAACAACACACTAAACTCTTTTCTTAGCATTTAAAGAACCATTTTAGGCAAATATAGAATGATGCCTTGTGGGAGCCCGTTCTCGGGTTCCTCGTGGCTTTACCCAGCAGGTCCGCATAGAGGATGATTAGGACCACGGGCCTGAGTGCAGGTGTCTGAGATGGTCTGCACTTGGCTGTGCTGGGGGAGGAGGTCTTTTGCTCCACCCCTTGGTGTCTCTATAAATACCCTGGGGCAGAGACAATCGGGGCCCGTTGGAATAGGTTCCAGGCCCTCTCGAGGCTATCCTTTATTTTCTATCTGTTTATCTCCGCGATATTCTCCACAATAAATCCTTCTATCTAATATTTCCTGCTGCTCGCACTCAAGAAAACTCTGGGGAACTGTGGGGGTGGTTGGGTAAACGCCCCACAATGCCTTAGCTGCTAAAACATGATACAGAGTGAAAGCTTCCAGCATCTTCCCACAGACTTCTTGCCCAGGTACCCAGGCTGACTTCCAAATGCTTACTAAGGGGGAAATAACAGCTGCTGAATAGAAATCTAATATGACTAAAAAGGAAAATGTGGAATAGTTTATAACCAAGTGTTGATTACGTTTTGATTTTACAACCTTTATATCACCCACCATAATGTTTTCATAAGTTACAAGCACTTTCAAAATAGATGCACGAAATACAGGCTCATCTCTAGGTACCCTGAAGATTGTTTTAGACCAGCACACTGAATGTAGAGGGACTGAGTGAGGCTGTACACGTTGTGGATAAGATGGCACGTGGATGGACATGCTGCTCTTTGAGCAGGATAGTCTGTCCTGATCTGAAATCCCTGTGATTTTAAACCTCAGCGTTTGCAAGCTCCTTCCTTCCTCCTTGACTCACACATGGATTTCTGGGCCTCCTAACCAAAGACTTCACACCATACTTGAAAAGGACTTCTGCCTTCTAGGAGATGACATCAGAGTCCCAAGTTTATCCAGCAGTTTAATACCGTGCCTCAAGCTGTAGCACTTTGAAAATCCCTTTACGTGCTTTGCCATAGACGGACTGTGCTTTTCCCAAATACTCTGATATTTTACACATCATGCTTCATCTGATATGTGAAAATGATTTTAGTTGGTTTTGAGTCTAACGAGGTCTAGACCTCGTCTTCAATGGCGCTCTTATTAAACCTTTAATTTCAATGGAGACGGTGTTATGTCTGGGTTATGTCTGTTTGCTTTTAGTTGCTTAGCAATTTTTGTTGTTTTTAGAAAATTTAGTCAAAAAGAAAGAGGAAGCAGACCTCCAGAGAAAGGGGTTCACACTGTAGTGCAGGTGTAGAGAGAGGGGGGTTCACACTGTAGTGCAGGTGTAGAGAGAGGGGGGTTCACACTGTAGTGCAGGTGTAGAGAGAGGGGTTCACACTGTAGTGCAGGTGTGGAGAGAGGGGTTCACACTGTAGTGCAGGTGTAGAGAGAGGGGTTCACACTGTAGTGCAGGTGTAGAGTGAGGGGTTCACACTGTAGTGCAGGTGTAGAGAGAGGGGTTCACACTGTAGTGCAGGTGTAGAGAGAGGGGTTCACACTGTAGTGCAGGTCCAGAGAGAGGGGTTCACACTGTAGTGCAGGTGTAGAGTGAGGGGTTCACACTGTAGTGCAGGTGTAGAGAGGGGTTCACACTGTAGTGCAGGTGTAGAGAGAGGAGTTCACACAGTAGTGCAGGTGTAGAGAGAGGAGTTCACACTGTAGTGCAGGTGTAGAGAGAGGGGTTCACACTGTAGTGCAGGTGTAGAGAGAGGGATTCACACTGTAGTGCAGGTCCAGAGAGGGGTTCACACTGTAGTGCAGGTGTAGAGAGAGGGGTTCACACTATAGTGCAGGTGTACAGTGAGGGGTTCACACTGTAGTGCAGGTGTAGAGAGAGGGGTTCACACTGTAGTGCAGGTGTAGAGAGAGGAGTTCACACTACTGCAGGTGTAGAGAGAGGGGTTCACACTGTAGTGCAGGTGTAGAGAGGGGTTCACACTGTAGTGCAGGTGTAGAGAGGGGTTCACACTGTAGTGCAGGTCCAGAGAGAGAGGGGTTCACACTGTAGTGCAGGTGTAGAGAGAGGGGTTCACACTGTAGTGCAGGTCCAGAGAGAGGGGTTCACACTGTAGTGCAGGTGTAGAGAGAGGGGTTCACACTGTAGTGCAGGTGTAGAGAGAGGGGTTCACACTGTAGTGCAGGTGTAGAGAGAGGAGTTCACACTGTACTGCAGGTGTACAGTGAGGGGTTCACACTGTAGTGCAGGTGTAGAGAGAGGGGTTCACACTGTAGTGCAGGTGTGTAGAGAGGGGTTCACACTGTAGTGCAGGTGTAGAGAGAGGGGTTCACACTGTAGTGCAGGTGTAGAGTGAGGGGTTCACACTGTAGTGCAGGTGTAGAGAGAGGAGTTCACACTGTAGTGCAGGTGTAGAGAGAGGGGTTCACACTGTAGTGCAGGTGTAGAGTGAGGGGTTCACACTGTAGTGCAGGTGTAGAGTGAGGGGTTCACACTGTAGTGCAGGTGTAGAGAGGGGTTCACACTGTAGTGCAGGTGTAGAGAGAGGAGTTCACACTGTAGTGCAGGTGTAGAGAGGGGTTCACACTGTAGTGCAGGTGTAGAGAGGGGTTCACACTGTAGTGCAAGTGTAGAGAGAGGGGTTCACACTGTAGTGCAGGTGTAGAGAGGGGTTCACACTGTAGTGCAGGTGTAGAGAGGGGTTCACATTGTAGTGCAGGTGTAGAGAGGGGTTCATACTGTAGTGCAGGTGTAGAGAGAGGGGTTCACACTGTAGTGCAGGTGTAGAGAGAGGGGTTCACACTGTAGTGCAGGTCCAGAGAGAGGGGGGTTCACACTGTAGTGCAGGTGTAGAGAGAGGGATTCACACTGTAGTGCAGGTGTAGAGAGAGGGGTTCACACTGTAGTGCAGGTCCAGAGAGAGGGGGGTTCACACTGTAGTGCAGGTGTAGAGAGAGGGATTCACACTGTAGTGCAGGTGTAGAGAGAGGGGTTCACACTGTAGTGCAGGTCCAGAGAGAGGGGTTCACACTGTAGTGCAGGTCCAGAGAGAGATGGGTTCACACTGTAGTGCAGGTGTAGAGAGAGGGGTTCACACTGTAGTGCAGGTGTAGAGAGAGAGGTTCACACTGTAGTGCAGGTGTAGAGAGAGGGGTTCACACTGTAGTGCAGGTCCAGAGAGAGGGGTTCACACTGTAGTGCAGGTCCAGAGAGAGAGGGGTTCACACTGTAGTGCAGGTCTAGCCTTTTGACGGGAGGGTAACTCTTTTTAAAATATGCCCTCAGAGGACCTGGTACAGAGATGTCCAAGCAAGCCAGATTTTCTTATAGTTTATTTGATGTGTGTGAAGGTTTTGCCTGGTGTACATCTCTGCACTACACACATGCTTATTAGCATCCACAGGGGCCAGAAGATACCACCCCCTGGGACTGGAGTTACAGCTGTTTGTGAGCTGCCGTGGGGGTGCTGGGAACTGAACCTGGGTCCCTTGTGAGAGTTAAAAGTACTTCTAACTGCTGTGCTCAGTTTTCTTATAGCTCACAGCAAACCTCCCTGCACAGTTAGGAGAAGGCTGTGTCTGGTGTAAGCCCGTTGTGGCACATTACTGAGTACCTGTCTCTAGAGATTAGCCAGGGATCTCACCAAGATTATTATGTCTGTTGATTGAGACGGATGGTGTGTGTGTATCTGCAATGCTGCCTGATGCATTCTTTGACGTACCCTTATCTATTTGAAGACTAGAGCCAGAAAAATGGAGGATATTTGCCTTCTTTTCATGCTGAAATGCCATTAACCAAGGAAAATGAAGCTCATATCAGAGGGAGAGACTGAAAATGAAACACTACATGTAGAGCCCAATGGTGGTTTGAAAGAAAATGGCCCCCACAGGGAGTGGCACTATTAGGAGGTGTGGCCTTGTTGAAGTAGGTGGGGCCTTATTGGAGGAAGTGTGTCACTGTGGGGGCGGGCTTTGAGGTCTCCTGTGCTCAAGCTATACCCAGTTCAGACCACTTCCTGTTGCCTGCTGGTCAAGGTGTAGGACTCTTAGCTCCTTCTCCAGCACCATGTCTGCCTACATGCCACCATGTCCCACCATGATGATAATGGACTGAGCTTCTGAAACTGTAAGCCAGCCCCAATTAAATGTTTCACCTTTATAAGAGTTGCTGTGGTCATGGTGTCTCTTCACAGCAATAGAAATCCTAAGACAAGTCTAGAGGAAATTCGTTCAAGGACATTGTCTGACCCTCTCTGTAAAGTCATGTATGCTCAAGATGCCTACAACCCCATCTCCCTCTTGAAAGAATAGGATATAATTTCTTTTAACCCCTCTGGGGTCTTTTGTACCAGACTTCCTATGATGCGCCTTTCAGGTCCTTCCTGTGGGGTGTCTACCCACCAACCCCACAGTTCCCCAGAGTTTTCTTGAGTGTGAGCAGCAGGAAATATTAGAAGGATTTAGAGTGTGGAGATAAACACATAGAAAATAATTGACAGCCTTGAGAGGGCCTGGAACCTATTCCAATAGGCCCCGACTGTCTCTGCCCCAGGGTATTTATAGAAATGCCAAGGGGTGGAGCAAAAGACGCCCCCCCCCCCCAACACAGCCAAGTGCATACCATCTCAGACACCTGCACTCAGGCCCGTGGTCCTAATCATCCTCTCTACGCAGACCTGCTAGGTAAAGCCACTAGGAACCTGAAAATGGGCTCCCAGGCCTTCCTAGATCAGAAAAAGGAGCTTTTAAGTACCTGGAGCACCTTTGCCAGTGGATGATGAGCTAGCCCTGCCGGCTTTCCCAGAACCACTTTTCCTCCTGCCCAAAGACCAGCACCACAGAGAGGCCTCATCCCACATTCCTGGTAAAACTGATGGCCAAGAACTCCTTTCCCTCTCATCTTCTGTGTCCCATCTCCCCCCTCCCCCCTTCCCCTCCCCATTGCCTTCACTTCCCACCTCCCCCCTCCCCCTCCCCCTCCCCATTGCCTTCACTTCCCACCTCCCACCTTCCCCTCCCCATTGCTTTCACTTCCTATCTCCACCTCCCACCTTCCCCTCCCCATTGCCTTCACTTCCCATCTCCACCTCCCCCCTTCCCCTCCCCATTGCCTTCACTTCCCATCTCCACCTCCCCCCTTCCCCTCCCCATTGCCTTCACTTCCCATTCCCCACCTCCTCTATCCTCCCTCTCCTCTCTCCCACCTCCAGCCCACGGAATACAAAGTACAGACTGTACCCCGTGCCTCACTGGAGCAAGTGCCTCCCTCATACTGTGCACGTGCTGGTGAATCGGCTGAGCAAATGGAGATCGAAGTGAATCTGAGGGACGGTGATGATTTCCCCTGGTCTAACCTTCCACCACAGCTGTCTCCCATGGCAGGGATTGGGGCGGTGCCCCAAGTAGGCGGTTCAGTTGAACCAGCAATCACAGCGTGAGGACACACAGGAAATTCAATTGGTTGACACCCTCAAGTCCGCTTTTGTTCTGTTGTGTTGCTTTTAAGAAGCAAATTTATTGAGAAGGTATTTGTTCAGCAGTAAATAATTCATTAGCTGTCTTAGTCACTGTTCTGTTGCTCTGAAGAGACACCATGATCAAGTCAACACTTACTTTAAAAAAAACCATTTTTGCGGGGGACTTGTTTATAGTTCAGAGGTTTAGTCCGTTTTCACCTTGGTGGCACATGTGGCATTGGAAAAGTAGCCGAGAACTACATCCTGATCCACAGGCCAAGAGAAAGACATGGCTTGGCATGGACTTTTGAAACCTCAAAGTCTCCCCCCCCCCCCCCACTGCCCAGTGACATACTTCCTCCAACAAGGCCATACTTCCGAGTCCTTCTAATTAATCCTTTCCAGTAGTGCCACTCCCTTGTGACTAAGCCGTCCAATATATGAGCCTATGGGGGCCATTCTTATTAAAACCACCACATTTGCTAAGTGTTTTTTTTTATTTTTGTTTTTTGAGACAGAGTCTCACAGTGTAACCAAGGCTGGGTTGGAATTCACTGTGTAGTCCAGACTGGCCTTGAATTCATGGCAGCCCTCCTGCCTCAGTCTCCTGAGTGTTGGGCTTACAGGTGTGCATCATCTTGCCTGCTAAAATGGTAGCTCTCATGGAGGACTCGCTCAGTTTTCCTTTAGGGGCACAGCTAATGCAGCA